TTTCCCTCTTCATCTTCTTCAACACTTAGTTCAGAATAGTCATCGGAATCAGACTGATGACCATCAGCTAAATCCTCCGTTTTAATGAATTTGTAATCTTTAGCTTTATATTTTGGAGGCCGTGAAATTCGTCCAGAACGTGTTTTCACTTTCAAAGATTTTTTTAGCTTTAGTTCTTTTTTTTCCTTTTTTTCGAGGCTTGAAATTGGAGTATTTGCTGAACTGGCTGCAACCAAAGAAACATTTGGGGAGCCTGTAGTAGCACATGTAGTTTTTTGTCCATTTAGTGTCTTGCATGTAGGAATCTTATTCCCAGACTCTGATCCATGAGGGGGTAAAGGTCCCTGCACAAGTAACTGAACTGACGAATCAGAATTTTGCAAGAGCTGTTGCTGTTCAGTTCCTGTACGAGGCTGTATCCTAATGATCTGGGGATTGATAATGCTGAGTCCTGATATATTAGAATCTCTACTGTCCGGCTGACTCAGTGTTACAACATTAGACTGGACTGATGCCAGAGATGGTGCTGGCCTTTCATTTTCCTTCATCTGCCCTGGTTGTAGTTGAACACATATGGCTTCTAATTCCTTTGGGAAGGAAAAAAGTTGTATTTTTTAGATCTTTGTTCATTTGATCTTAGAATGAAAGATAAAGAAACTAGATGTCATTTTTTCTATAATCTTCAAGACACAGATTTCCTTCCATCCAGCTACTGCATCTCCACATACAAAGAGTATTTGTTTTTTTGCTTAAGCAGTGAGAAGAAATAAAAATAAAGAGGTTTTCTTTTTTAACATCCAACAACCATCAGTGCAGTTAAAATGGAAAAAACAAACAGGTGATTTTGTAAACGGATCTGTCTGGGAAGCACACCAATAAAGTCAACAGGGTCATCTCAGGAGATTCAACTGCATATTCTAGCTTTAGGTTGTGAAACTGTAGTTTGACAAATGCTTAGCTAGATTATGGCCTTTAAAAGGATGCACACTGTTATGTGCATCTAGATAAATCAGCATTTCTTAAATAAGAGCTAGGCTTTAATTGTTATTCTTCTTCCTCCTCCCCATATGACATGAACAGTTTAAAATTAAGAATGAGAAAAAAAGAAACTTAAGTGGAGATGGAAGGAGATAAAAGGAGTTCACAGGTGGAAGACAAGAAGTTGTTTATACCTTATGGAATCTTAAAAATATAGCATTTATTAGAATATGTATTTGACTTTGCACTAAACCTACAAAATTTAATGCACTGTAGCTGTCATGGAGGGGAGATGCACTAGGTTAGGCTAAAAACACACTTGCAAGCACATAAATATACTTTGCTGGATCAAAACTGAACTGCACAGCTCTCTACATGAACTGAAATGTACGCCACAGAGTGCACACATTGCAAACTTAATTGCTGCTATTTCTGTCAAAATATTTACACACACTAGTCTTCAAAGAGAAAGTTCTGTCTAGCCTCTCGACTTGCCGACTTCAGGTGCTTTTACTAGAGCACTAGTAGAGAATGCACAATCAGAAATTTCCTCTTAAAAAAAACAACCTCTTCAAAAATGTACACGGTGTCTTAATATAAACACAACTGATGACTCATTATTCTAATTACTTTTGACCAGAGACCAAACAAGGAAAACTTTAGCCTGAAAAGCAGGTATTTGAGAAGTTTAAATGTCATCTGAAGAGCTATAATAGATGTGACTCTGAAACTTGACACAGAAATGCCACTGTAAGAATAATTATTCCATTAGATTAATGGCCTACCATGGACTCGGAGGCCCGATAGCACAGATGGCCATTTAACTGCTGCCAACTAGCCCAACACAGCTTGGACGAGCAGCTGTACCGATTTTACCTAGCCCTAACATCGCTTCTGCCACAAGCAGCTGCAACGTCTATTCCTGAGCACACCGCCTCCAGGCGGTTGTGAGGACAAGGGAGGCCTTAGGAAGGAGATCAGAGGCTGGCGGCTGACCAGGAAGCCTCTATCAGGACCTGACAGGACGCCCCCAGCCCCACACTTCACCGTGAGGGCAGAGCCTCGTACTCGTTTTAGTGCCACTGAGCTATGGCGGTGGCTCTCGATCTTTTTGGCTCTGCTCCCCCTTGGGAAATGCCAGCTCTTCGCTTTCATTTTTCCCTTGAGTGCAAAAAAAATAAAAGAACAACTTTGCTAGGGCAGCGGGGCCCAACCCTTGTGCTCCAGGAACCAGTCGGGTGGTGCCAGATCCATCCACAGGCCTGGCGGGCACAGCCTGAGCCTGTCCCATTGCCCGGGGGGAGCCACTTGGCTCGGATCCGGACAGCCTGTGCTGGGGCCGAACCCGATGCAGGGGGACGAGGGTTCCCAGGAGGGAGCCTGGGGGTCCCCCCACTGCAGGGCGCCGGGGGCAGTACCTGGCGCGGGAGAAGCCGGGGGGCGGCGGCGCGGCCCCGCTGCAG